AGCAAAATGTGAGTGGCAGGTGGCTCCTGAGGCCTCTGCTCCAGAGCTCCTGTTTCTCTTCCTGGGATTTAAAAACTTAAATAGCTCTTGAATTTCAGGAATATTCCTGTTTGCAAATCCCGCTCGGGGCACCCTGGTTGAGCAGAGCCCCTCCCTGGTAGCTCACACTGCCTGAAATGCTGGAATTCAGCCCGGGATCAGGACAGGAGAGCTCCAGCAGCTCCCCAGCACCTCTGCCAGGACACAGCTGTGTCCCAGCATCCCTGCACTGCCGTTGCCATGGAGACCAAGCATCGTCCCCTCTCCTGCCACCTTTAAGGAAAAATGTCCCTCCAGGGCACAGGGCTGTCCCCAGAGCACTGCCAGGTGGCCTCAGCCCCATCCTGCACCCAGGACATCCCCCAGGACAGGGATTGCTGCCCATGGGGAATTTCCTGCTGGCTCCAGCCTGGAGCTGACCATACCAAGGAAAAAAAAAAAAAATCCAGGAGGATGCACACCTAAAATGGGAGGTTTGAAGTGAAATCCAAGCAGGAAGAGCTTGAGGCTGTCCAAGACCAGCAGAGGATCCTTCAGCAACAACTGTTGTTCAATCCAGAGTGGTCTCTCAAACGTGTTGAATTGCTAATGCAAATGAACACCTCAAAAATCCAACCAGCCTGCTCCTCTTTCCTAAGAACATCCTTTGAGGGCTGGACAAGGTGGTCACAAAGAGAAGGACACCTCAGGAGCAGAATAAGAAAGGATCTAACTGGGATATTAGGGACAAGATTGGGAGTTTTAAATGGAATTGATTCAGAAATACTGATGAATAAGCTGGCCACTACAGCAGGTGACCTGGCAAAACTGAAGCAGCCTTTACAGCCATCTCTACTGGCATTAGGAACTAGCCAAGATTTCAAAAGGGAGCCGACCACCACCAAGGAAAAAAAAATCCAGGAGGATCCACACCTAAACAGGGGGGTTTGAAGTGAAATCCAAGCAGGGAAGAGCTTGAGGCCGTCCAAGACCAGCAGAGCATCCTTGAGCACAGAAAATCGTGGGTGCAGCACTGTCCCCATGGCTGGTGGCACTGGCAGCCCCAGGGGAGCCCCAAGCAGAGCCACCCCTGCCCCTGTGCCCTGCCAGGTCTCCCCTGGCACCTGCTGAGCTCCTGGAGCAGGGATGAGGAATTGCCAGGCATGGACACTTTGTTGTTGCCTTGGAGCCCCTCAGCAGGTGACAGACAGGATGTCACCTGTCACCTGCCCAGGGATTTATGAGCAGGGGTGGCATCAAATCCTGGAGTGGTTGGGTTTGGAAAAACCTTGAACTCATCCCATTCCGTTACCTGCCATGGACAGGAACACCTTCCATATTCAGGCTCATCTTTCACCCTATGCCCTTTCCTTGGCACGGAAAATCATGGGTGCAGCACTGTCCCCATGGCTGGTGGCACTGGCAGCCCCAGGGGAGCCCCAAGCAGAGCCACCCCTGCCCCTGTGCCCTGCCAGGTCTCCCCTGGCACCCGCTGAGCTCTGACAGCTCCCAGGACCTAAGCAGGGGGCGAGCTGAGGAGTTAAAGGGAAAACATCTCCTTTTGAAACCTGCTCCCACTGCACTCCCACCCTCCTGCCCGTTTCAGCCCTGCTTGTCCCACACTGGAGCCCTGGAGGTGGGAAATGGGGGAATTGTTGCTGTTCAAGGGTGTGACACGGGGTGAGGTCCCCTCCGCGTGGGGCTGTGGCAGGAGAGGCGTCCACCCCCATCCCACTGCTCCTCTGGCACCCCTGGGAATGGTTCGGGTGGGAAGGGACCTTCCAGATTGCTGGGGAGGATGAAAGTTTGGCAAGAAAGTCTCAGAGATATATGGATGCTTGGCAGAAAGGTTTTTGAATGTAGGAGCTGAGGAAGGAATAGAAATGGAAGCAAGTTTTGATATAGAAGGAAAGAATTGCTGAGCCAGTCTCACTGGATAACCAAGGAGGCAAAGGGGGGTTTTTGTCACTTAGAGCAAAGGATAAACCCACCTCAAACAAGATGTTTTTACCAAGCAGGAAGATAGCACAGGCAAACAAGTCAGCAGATATTGCAAGTAGAAAAAAAGCTCTCAGAATTTTCCACTGCAAGAAAACTTAAAAACAACTTCTAGCTTCGACTGTAACGTACTAACCTTTAGTGACTGGCAATCTTAACATGAATATGGTAATTATAGCAGTTATGACAGGCTACAGGTAAAGGTTAAGGTATAGATTGGTTCTGCTGTGTTAAGATGCTCAGCAAAGAAAAGTACAGAATGCATTTGTAACCTAAACTAAGGGTGTCCAGGCAGCTGGAGCTGACAGCTGCAGGCTCTGTCACCATGACCTGGGCTGCTGTGACACCTTGGATACAATAAACTGCATTTTGGAAGGGCTGCCTGCATCCCTCCTTACACCAGATCACCCCAGGGCACTTCCCCAGCCCAGGCTGCTCCAGCCCGGCCTGAAAGAAACAGCACCGATGTCTCTGCCTGGTCACAGCCCCCAGGTGGATGCCAGGCAGGATCATCCCGAGGATCAGCCTCACTGGGCAAGCCGTGGGAAGGACAAGCTCGGTACAGCCAGGACCCCAGGAACCTCTGAGTGCACGTTCCAGGGAATTTTATCCCAGCACAAACAGTTCCAGAAGGCAGCCAGGGCCTCACTCAACCTCCAAATATGTTTTCCAGGATGTGTGCCTCCAAGGGCAGAAGGCGGCAGGCCCTGGAAGGGGAATGCAGCTGGGATGTTTCCATGGAGCAGCGAGATGAGTCAGTGCCATCTGCCGGCTGCAGCCACCCCGCCGCTCCCAAATCTATCCCATGGACAGGAACAAAGCCCAGCCTGACGCTAAAGCTTCCAGGATCCCTCTGGAAAGCTGCTCCGAGTGCAAATCCCCCTAAGGATCCAGGTGGGATCTGTTTAGCACAGCAGCATCGAGAATTCCCAGCAAAGTTCTGGTGTACCCAGGCTGCAGCTCCAGCATCCCACAGCTTCCCTCCCACCTTTGGGATCTGCCTTGCTGTTCCTGACAGAGTCACACACGGAAATCCTCCGCGGTGTCCCCGGGGGTGGTGTGGCACCGTCGGCTTTGCCTCAGCCTGGGCCATTCCCAGGGCACCAGGAGGAATCCGAGCTGGCATGGGACAGCAGGCACTGCTGGCTGCCCCACCCTGCTCGAGTGGATTCAATTAGGAATGGATCCTAAGCGTGCTTCTCATCGTTTTATTTAAAAAGGAAAACTCATCCCTGCTCCGCAGTTATCCCGGAATCAGCTTTAGGTGCCAGATCCCTGAGGATTTTGTCTCAAGACAAACGCAGGTTTGTGTTGAAGCCTCCTCACAGAGATTTGCTTCCGCCCGTCCTTCCAGTGCTGGTTACCCCCAAAGCTCTCTGCAGGCGTTTCCAAAGCTGCCTGCAGGACAGTTTGGAGCTGCAGGGTGGCCTGGGGCTCCGTGTGCTGCAGAGAGCCCCGAGCTGACCCTGCCAGGCTGGGTTAGGGATGAGCCCAGCTCACCCAGCTGCTCTTGGCGATCAGTAAAACCACTGATCCTGCTTTTCCTGCTGAGAACAAGCCTGGAAAAGGGGGATTGTCTCTGGGAAACTCCATTGGGATGGAGTGGGGGCAGCACAGAGCTGTCGTGGATGGGGATGCTGGGCACGGGCACATCTGTGGAGTCTCCCCTCAGCTTCCTCTGAACTCAATTTAAATACCCTCAATTCATTTCTGACAAACCAGGTTATTTTTCCCTCCTGGTGATGATCTCCATCTGATAGAAAACCACCTTATCACCTTGCTACATATTGATTCCGAGGGAGTTACCTGCAATTATTTAAAACATTCTCTTTTCCCTCAACTTTTTTCCAGTCTCTCCCTATTCCTGGCCTCCAGCAGGAGAGGCATAGGCGTGGAACAGCTGCTGCTTAAGGCCAAAAATAAAGTGAAACATCCAGAAGGGGCACGGAGAGGCGACGGGAGCTCTGTATCAACAGAACGAGGTGATTTTCCATGGAAATGGCCAGAAATTGAAGGGAATGGATTTAACCCTTGGCGAGCCCGGCCACGCTCCCATTGCCTAGCAACAGCACGCCATGCCCTTATATGGCAACCGCGCCCGCCCACTCCTCGTTCTCCCTTCTCATTGGCTGCGCGCCGTGTGATTGACGTGCACGCTCGCCATTCCGCACCCTCCACGAGCCTCTCCCGCTCCCGGGGCGCGGCGCTACCGGGAAGCCGGTGCAGGAAGCGGAGGGGAGGAGCGCGAGAGACGCGTCCGCTGCGCTAACCAATGGGAGAGGAGCTTGGGGGCGGCTCAGCCAATGGCAGCCCGCGGGGGCGGGGCCGGGGGCGGGGCTGCGGCAGCCGGCAGCGGGCGGCTCCGGGAGGCGGCAAAGGTGAGGGGAGACCCGGGGGGAACCGGGGGGACCGGGCAGGGGCAGGAGCAGGACAGCACCGGGGGTGTTGGGAGGAGCGGATCTGAGGGAAAGCCTGGGGTGTACCGGGCAGGGAGGAGCCGGGCAGGGGGCAGGACAGCACCGGGGTGTTGGGCAGAGGGGATCTGGGGGAAGGCGTGGGGGGACACGGGGGGACCGGGCAGGACAGCACCGGAGGCCTTGGGCAGAGCGGATCTGGGGGATCCGGGGTGCTGTGAGGGATTCCGGCCGGGTTCAGGCTCCAGGAAGGAGCGGACCCCAGAGCGGTGCAAGAGCCCTTGGCCTGGCGGGTGCAGGAGGGTGGGGAGGCGCCGGGGAGCTCCGAGACCCCGCGGGAGCGGCTGGCAGAGCCCGGTGCCCACGCTGCTCCCGGGCTCCTCCCGCGGCTCCTCCCGCAGCTGCTGTCACAGCGGATCCCACGCGGTGCTTGGGGACAGCCCCCCCACAGCTGTGACAAACAGAGCACATCGCTCAGACCCGCTCTTACCCAGCTCTGGCTAAAGCTCTGCGTTCCCAGGTGGGAGCGGCGGCAAGGGGGATGCTGCGGGTGCCGGTGCTGGAAGCAGGATGAGTCTGGCGGCGATGGCGAGCGATGCCGAGCTCCAGTGGGTGTCCCTGCGGCTCCGTGTGCGCTGGGCGGCCGCGCTGGTGCTGCTGCTGAGCTCCCTGGTGATGCTGCTGCTGCCTCTGGACAACCAGTGCCACGCCGTGCTCAAGGGCCTGTCCCTGCTGAGGAATAAACTGGGCTCCTCGGGAATCAGCAGGCTCACGGGACAGAGCACGGAGCTGAGCGTCACCTCCAAGGGGCTGGAGCTGCTGGTGCTGAAGGGAAAAGCATCCCCAGGTGAGAGGTGCTGGTTGGGCATGGCTGAGCTCCTCTCAGGTCAAGGAGCTGCTGGAGAGGGTCCAGCAGAGGCCACAGAGGTCATTTGGGGGCTGGAGGATCTGTGGGAGCTGGGCCTGGTCAGTCTGGAATCTCAGCAATCCATACAAACATCTCCAGGGGGTGTCAGAGGATGGTGCCGGGCTCTGCTCGGTGGTGACAAGGAGCAATAAACTAAAACACAAGTTCCACCTCAACATGAGGAGCAGCCTCTTTCCATGAGGGACAGCTGCCCATGGAGTGGTGGAATCTCTCTCCATGGAGACATTCCAAACCCACCTGGACACCTTCCTGCTCCAGATGACCCTGCCTTGGCAGGGGCTTGGAGTGGGTGATTTCCAGAGGGCCCTTCCAACCCCCAACACCTTCCTGCTCCAGGTGACCCTGCCTTGGCTGGGGCTTGGAGTGGGTGATTTCCAGAGGGCCCTTCCAACCCCCAACACCAACCCAGAGATCTTCACCCCCTTCGTGACCATGCCCTGTACCCCTGATGGGAGTGACACTGTGCCCTGATGGTAACAAACTGCAATTAACTGCAATTAACACTGGCTGTAAATGCCCCTGAGGTCAGGCAGGCCCTCACCAGCTCCTCGACTGCATTCCAGGGCCCTGTGCTGGCATTGCTGCGTCTCTCCAGAGTTTTTCCTTGTGTTTTCAGTACTAGTAACTTCTGTGGAGGCAACTGGAACACAGAGAGGTGGTTTAATGCACAGAAATCTGGGCTACACAGCATTAATCCCAAAATCCTGGCACAGAACAGCCTTTCAGGCACTATCAGGCTGTAGCCATGGCCAGTATCAGCCAGGACATTAATTTGGAAAACACTTAAAGGAATTATTGCAATTCCAGCACCGTATCTTTGTTTGCATTAAAGCTCTTACTGCTGGGAAAACGTTGGATAGTTCAGTGGAAAAACAGAAGTGCTGTTGGCAGCCAGCATAATAATGTTAGCATTTTAATTTCACCTAAAAGAGTGCCAAGGGAACACTGTTAGGACACTGTTTCCTCCCACATGGAGCAGTTTGGTGGCCACCTTGAACCTGCTGCTCACAGGTCCTGCCTCCCCACACTTGCTGCCAGGCTCTGCTGCCTCATACTCAGCTTGGAGACGTGGCATAAACCTCTAGAATTAAAAACTGGAACACAAATTCTGTTCCGGTTCTCCAAGGCTGGTTTTGTTCAATTTTTATATCAGTGAACAGTCATTCATAGAATATCCTGAGTGGGAAGGGAGGCACAAGGGTCACGGAATCCAGGTTTCCAGAGGTTTCACTCACCACCCTTTACCTGTTACCATTTCATTCCAGAGGTGAAGTTGGAAGCCAGAGCAGCTCTGAATCAAGCCCTGGAGATGAAGCGCCAAGGGAAGCGGGAGAAGGCTCACAAACTCTTCCTGTACGCCCTCAAAATGGACCCGGATTACGTGGATGCCCTGAACGAGTTCGGGATCTTCTCAGAAGAGGAAAAGGACATCCTCCAGGCCGACTACCTGTACTCCAAAGCTCTGGCCATCTCCCCCCACAACGAGAAGGCTCTGAGCAACCGCGGCCGGACGCTGCCCTTGGTGGAGGAGATCGACCAGAGGTACTTCAGCATCATCGACAGCAAGGTCAAGAAGGTGATGGCCATTCCCAAAGGGAATTCCGCCCTGCGCCGGGTGATGGAGGAATCCTACTACCACCACATCTACCACACGGTGGCCATCGAGGGGAACACGCTGACGCTCTCCGAGATCCGGCACATCATCGAGACCAGGTACGCCGTTCCCGGGAAGAGCCTGGCGGAGCAGAACGAGGTGATCGGCATGCACGCGGCCCTCAAGTTCGTCAACACCACGCTGGTGTCGCGCATCGGCTCCGTCACCAGCAGGGACATCCTGGACATCCACCGGCGCGTGCTGGGCTACGCCGACCCCGTGGAGGCCGGGCGCTTCCGCGCCACGCAGGTCTTCGTGGGCCACCACATCCCGCCCCACCCGCAGGACGTGGAGAAGCAGATGGAGGAGTTCGTGCAGTGGATGAACTCGGAGGACGCCACGAGCCTGCACCCCGTGGAGTTCGCGGCGCTGGCGCACTACAAGCTGGTTTACATCCACCCCTTCGTGGACGGCAACGGCCGCACCTCGCGGCTGCTGATGAACCTGATCCTGATGCAGGCGGGGTATCCGCCCATCACCATCCGCAAGGAGCAGCGCGCCGAGTATTACCACGTGCTGGAGGTGGCCAACGAGGGCGACGTGCGGCCCTTCATCCGCTTCATCGCCAAGTGCGCCGAGACCACGCTGGACATGCTGCTCATCGCCACCACCGAGTACTCCGTGGGCCTGCCCGAGGCTGGGTGCAAACAAACCATCCCCGTCAAGACTTGAGGGTTTTGGGCAAACTCCAGGACATGGTGAAGACGTGGGAGAGCAGAACTCCGAGGCGGTCGGTGTTCCTGCTGGGAAATGACTGGACAGGAGGTGTCGCTTGAGTGTTTTGTTTATTTAAGTTTGATTAAATTAATATAATTTATTTATATACATGATGCCAAACGGAACTGGGGATGGTGGCTGTGCACTGGAAGGAGGTGGGGAGAGATGTCAGAGGGCTCAAAAAAATGAACTGAAATTGAATTTCTCCTTAAAATTAAGCTTTGAGGAGCTGCTTCAATCACAACCCTGCACCCAGGCAGTCATCTCTACTGTCTGACCTCAGCGAAGTCTAAACTGAGCTAATTCTGTGTGGCCTCTTCCCTGTAGCTCCAAAACACATCCCTGAAGGAACAGCACTCTCCCAGCTGTGTCCACCAGACACTTTGGTGTCAGTCACACAGGTACTGAGCAGGAAGGAGGCTGAACTCCAGCCCAAAGGCATCTCCTCCCCTCCCATTTCTGTTTCTGTGGCACTTTGCATGTTTACTTTCAGCTGCCTTTCCTGGGGTGAGTTTTGTACAAGTGGGAAGTGTTTGGTTTGGGATTACAGGTGATAGGAGTGGAACAAGAGGAGAAAAGCTCTGACTTACTTGAGGGAGGGCTCAGAAAACCTCAGCCAAGAGGAACCCTGGGAAAGAACAACTGTCCTTAGACATTTCAGTGGAGGGTTGGAAGGAGCTTGGCTGCAGAACTGTGGGCAGAAAAAAGGCAGAGCCAGGAGACACCAGTTGTGCCAGTTTGGGAAGAATGCGTACAGGAAGTTCGCCAATCTGCAGAACTGTGGGCAGAAAAAAGTCAGGCAGAGCCAGGAGACACCAGTTGTGCCAGTTTGGGAAGAATGCGTACAGGAAGTTCGCCAAAAACTTCAGTTGTTTTAGTCTGGGTAAGGGAACTTCCACAATTAATCACTGGTCATGTCATTGCTCTGACAAATGTGTCAAGAATCACTCGAGGCCTCTGTGTGCTGCAGGGGCAGTGCAGTGCCTGGAGCTGCTGAGCAGTTCAAAGAATCACTTTTGCCTTGGTTTTTAAGGTAAAAGTACCCACAGATCTCCCTACCCCAAACCTGCCAGGTCTGTAACAGCATCACTGACCCCACCACCTCCAAGCTCACAAAACTTCCATTTAAAATCCCAGTTTAGAGCATTTAACCCCTTGACAAAAGCTGCCAGGCTGTCCTAGGCTTAGTTTTCTTCCCTTTTAACTCTCTCTTACCTGACAGGGAGCTTAGGACATGTTTTAGAGAAGCAGAAACCAGGATGAGACTGGGAGTTCTCTGAGCACTGCTGCCAGGGAAAGCAGACAATACAGGAGGAAAGGTGTCCTGTCCTTACAAAGCATGTTATTTTTGTAGTGCAACCTGAGTATAAATAATGCACTTTAGAGCTCTGTGGGGGGGAAAAAATGTTATTTTAGTAACAGATTAATAAACTATTTTAATATTAAAGTCTTGGTTTGGAAGAGGCTGTTCTCAGAGCACACTTGGCTGCAGTGAACTAAGTGGTTGTGGAGGAGGAGAGGCCATGGGAGAGATCCTGGTTCCCTCAGCCACGTGCCAACATGAGCAGAGTGATCATTTCAAAGTAAAGCCAAGTGAAATCAGCACAGAAAAATAGTGTTTATTTGAAGCAGTGTTGGTGTGGTCCAAGTGAACTCAGCGCTGGGGTCCCCCCTCACATCCACCCCTCTGGGTGGTGACTTCCAGGGTAGTTGACAAGCAGGGATGCTTCTATGCAAGGTCACACCACTGTTGGAAAGTCTGAGGTGATGACTGAAGTGATTTCAGGATATTCAGAGCAGATGGAATGAGCTGCTTCAAGGCCTGAGGGACACTGAGCACACCTGAGAGGTGAGGTACATCACTAATCACCCAGCTGCCAGAGGAGAAGTGCAGTTCCAACACCCACATTTAAACAAAAGCAACAGTATTTATAGAAAACCTTTGAGAACTTGAGTTTAATAAACCGAGAAACGTCAGCTTGCACTTCACAGTTGTACAAAACCATACAGAAACCACCTGCAAAAAGACATGAGCTAGCTAGGAAAAACAACCAAAAAACAACCAAAAAACCTGGTCCTCAGCAACAGCACGTCCAGCTTCATGGGAAACAAAAATTACCACCTAAGGATCAGCTCCTGACACTTAAAAAGAATCATCTCAATGTCCTTTACAAATACACCATATAAAAAACAGGTCAACTGGAACAGAACAGGAACTGGATACATATATATGTATATCTGTGTATCTACATATACACACATATGTATAGAAACTCTCCCAATACTAAAAGAGGCCATTGTGGTGAAGTTGGAGCATCTGCTGTTGGATTCTGCATGGAAGGAGATGACAGTCCCTGCGTGCGTGGGTTTGGGTGAAGAATGGGGCTGTTGGCAGAGAGAATGTCTGCAATCCCAATCTGAGCTGACCAGTGGAGCTTGCTGAGGTCCTCCCATGGCATCTCATTCGTCAATGAAAGAGAAAATCGTTGGAAAGTACTCCAAAAACTCCATGTGGCATCCGAGCTGTGCAGGAAGTACTTCCCCCCTCGTTACCCTCAATATGAGGGATCACATTAACGCCATTTCACCAGAACAAAAGTGTAACTCTTTGCTCTTAGAGGAAAAAAAAAAAAAGAAAAAACTACCACCTGGATTTGTGCCATCCTCCACTGATCCCGAGGAATGCAGCAGTCCAGTATTTACACGGGATTGGGACGGGCGTTCTCTCCTTGCAAAGCTTAAGGACACAACATGGCTTCCAGAAAGGCATTTCACATTGGACCAGACCCGCTGAGTGCACACTCCCTGCTCACTTTTTCAGGAGCATCTTGGCAAAATCAGCATTGGACATCTTTTTGGGTTCTGCAGGGGGGTCAGAGGACGCTGCTGGTGAGTTCTGGACCATCCCATTCTCAGCCTTGGCCACGGGGTTGCTCTGACGCTGCAGCGCTCGGGGCATCATGGAGAGCTGTGTCCTTCCCTTCCCTCGCCTGGAAGGGAAAAAATTCCCATTAAAACACACTCTTTTAGCTTGGGGGAACAATAAGGACTTGTGTGCTATGAGGAATGCACATTTCAATATCATTCCTGTCATTTGTTCCAGGGAAAAAGCTTTCCATGGGTGTCTTTGAAGCACCCCTGAGTTCTGGCAGACAACTGCCCCACAGTCCCCAGGGCTGAAGCTCTGTTTATCCACAGGGCTCATCCAATACAGGAACACTAGAAGATGAAGGAGCAGCTTTAATGTTCATTAGGAACAATGGCTGCTTCTTCAGAGGGAGAGGATGTGGAGGTTATTGGAGATGAGTGCCAACATCAGACCCAAGGGGATGGCCAGTGCCTCATCATCTCGTTGCTACAGAGCTGTTTCTGTGGGTAAAGAGGAAAAATTTGCTTTTCCTCATCAATCCAACAACCCATTTTTTTATGGTGCAGTACCTTTTAAATGTTCTTTCAGATTCACAGGATCCTACACTGATTTGGGTTGGAAGAGGCCTTGAAGATCACTCACTTACACCTCCTGCCATGGGCTGGGCCACCTTCCACTAGCCCAGGTTGCTCCAAGCCCTGTGTAACTTGGCCTTGCACACTTCCAGGGATCCAGGGGATCCTCTGGGCAGCCTGTGCCAGGGCCTCCCCACCCTGACAGGGAATGATTCCTTCCCAATATCCCACCTAACCCTGCCCTTTGGCAGTGGGAAGCCCTTCCCTCTTGCCCATATAAAAAACCCTCCCCCCTCTTTTTTCTAAGCCCCCATATTCCAGCTAAGATTCCTCAACTTCAGCATGTACAGAAACACAGCATTTCCTTTCCAGGCAGTGCCAGCAGCCCTCCCTCAAGCCCTGCCCCACTCACGCTCCATAGATGTGCCGTGGTACCAGGGGCAGGGAGGCCCTGCCGGGCTCGGGCCGCTCCGGAAGCTTCCGCAGCGGGGGGTTGCTGATCATCACCTTGATGACGTGGTCCTTCACTGTCAGCCCATCCATCTTCAGCACAGCCTGAGAGGCCTGGGCTTCATTCTCATATTCCACATAAGCCAGGCCCTAAATTAAGGAAAGAAAGAACCTACATTAGGTTTTAGTGCTTCTGTAAGAGCTGATGAGGAATTCGTAAATGAAGGAAAACTGAACGTGGCTCAGTCCCAGTGTTCATCACTCCCAATCATCATTCTCCTTACAAACCTGTCTTTCCTTTCACTCCTGAAGCCCTCAATGTGTGGAAAAGGTATTAAAAAAGGAAAGAACCACTCAAAAAAAGCTATTAAAGGAAATAAAATGAAGTACAGCAGGTACCTCACACAGAGAAGAGCATCACCTCTCCCTACTGTTACTCTTTTAAATGACATTCAAAGCCTTAAGCTGCATTTTTTGGATTATCCAGTTTCATAGGAGAGGCATCAGGTTTTACATAACTTCCCCAAAATACATTTATTTGTGGTTTACACACAATGCCAGCTCAAACTAAGCTCAGAACAAGAGTTGGGGTTCCCAAGAGCACTCATTAAAAGGTGTACACACAACAGAAACTTCACCTGAGGTGATGCAAAGGGCAAGAAAATTCAACTTAAATCCAAGTCCACCATTCCCAGGATGTCCCTGTGGACAGGACCCACCACACAGACACAGCTCAGGTGTCAGAGTTTTGGCAGAGCAGCAGCTGGTTCAGAATCCCTTATTTAACAAGGAGTCATTTATTCAGGGATGGAAATAATGAGCCCTGTCAGAGAGGGGGTTCATTTCTCACTGGCAAACCCCTTCCTGCAGCAGATGTTAGGAACAAAAGCCTCAGGAAATTGAGGAAAGGAGGATGAGAATTGGTTGCACCAGGTAAACCCCATTTAGCCAGTTATTTAAAAACCAAACCTTTACAGAGTTGCCTGTTTTTACTACACTGAATGTGTTATAAACATTTCCCCCTCCATCCTGTTTTTCTTATGCAATTTAAGAAGTATTTTGGAAAAATTCCTTTTGGTTTTCTGCACAAAGGCACACTGTATAAATCCAAGCTGTATAAATCCAAGCTCTTCCACAAGTAATAATACAACACCACGCTGGCAACTTAATCAACCCAACTTTTTTGTCTCCAGACTCCATGACAAGCTTCTT